GCAGCAAATCAAAGAAAAAGATTTCTTCAAAGAAGCTGCAGGGTAAACGTGTCAGGAATCCCTTCTGTTATTTTTTACCCTAACGAGACTGTTTTGTGGGCAGTGCCCAGCAGAGTGAGAGGAAACACACGTGTTTCAGATAGAGGGCATCACCTGAGAACCAGCAAGGAAGTGGGAGATCACTGAGAGGAAGAAAGGATCTGTTCGACTTGAGAAGGAATTTCTGGGCTCCATCCAACGTGCTTGTATTAGTGCTTACTAGAAAAACATTTAATGCAAGGTATACAAGTAGAAGTGTTTACATGATTGGCTTACAGTGCCTACCAGCAGAGTCAGGTATAGAAGCGTGCAAAAGGATTGTCTGCACTCTGGAGATGTGAAGGATCCAGTTGAAGGGCTGGAGCTCCCTGTAGTGTCCAGTGCAAGTCCTTATCAGGAGGCCAAAGGATCTGTGGTAGAAGGCTGAAAGGCCTGCACTCAAAGCCAGGAGACAACGTACTAGGTGAAGGTGAAGGCAGGACCTGTCAATGACGAAGTTCCAGGAACTTGTGCAGAACAGTTCCCAAAGACCTATACCCAGAACCAATCAAAGAGTTTTCATTTGCATCTCTTGAATGACCAGTGAAGTTGAACATTTTTTCATGTATTTATTTAATGCTGCTGCTTCATCTGAGAAGTGTCTATTCATTTCAGATGACCATTTTTGGATTGGGTCTTTTAATTTGGGTGATCTAATTTTTTTGAGTTCTTTATATATTGCAGATATTAGTCCTTTGGGGAAGAGCCGGCAAAAATTTTTCCCACTCTGTGGGCTGCCTCTTCACTTGGTTGGTGATTTCTTATGTTATGAAAAAGCTTTTTTATAAGATGAAATCCCAGTTGTTGATTCTTTTTGGTATGTCCTGTGTGATTAAGGTTTTGTTCATAAAGTCTTTATGTACACCAATGTCAACAATTCTACCTAACCTCTCTTCCAGCCAGTTTAATGTTTCTGTTGTAATATGTAGATCTTTGATCCATTTTTTTTTAGTTTAGTGCATGATAAAAGATATGGTCTAGTTTTAATTTTTCAGCATGTGGGAAGCAAGTTTTTCCAGCACCACTTATTAGAGAGGCTTTCTTCAAGGGAAGGTATTTGGCTCTTTTGTAAATGCTAAGGTGGCTGAGTGTGTTTGAAGTTGTTTCTCCATCTTCTGATTTGTTCCATTGATCTTCAGGTCTTTTTTCCCCCCAGTATCATGCTCTTTTTATCACAGTAGCTTTGTAGTATAATTTCAAGTCAGAGATTGTGCTGCCTCTTTGGCTTTATTTCCCAGAATTGCTTTCAGCTATTCTAGGTCTCTTTTGGTTCCAAATAAATTTTAGGAATGTTTTGTCTAATTCTGTGAGATATGTTGATGGTATTTTGATTGGGATTGGATTAAATCTCTATAAGTATTTTGAAAGTATAACCATTTTCACTATATTAGTTCTTCCTATCCAAGAACAAGGGATATCTTTCCACATTCTGATATCCTCTTCAGTCTCCTTTTTCAGAGTATTGTGGTTTCAATGCAAAGTTGTTTTTTTTTACTTCCTTTATTAGATTAAGTCCTAGGTATTTTTTTAATGCTATTTTGAAGTGTGTTGTTTCCCTAATTTCTTTCTCATTGAGTTTGTTATTTGTGTAAAGAAGGCTATTGATTTTTGAGTACTGACTTTGTATGCAGCTACACTACTGAATTTGGTTATTAAATCTAGAAGTCATTCAGTGAAGTTTTTGGGGTCTTCTATGTAGCGTATCATGTCATCCACAAATAATTATAATTTAAATTTTTCCTTTCCTATCCTTATTCCTTTTATTTCTCTCTCTTGTTTAATTGCTCTGGCTAATGTTTCCAGAACTATATTGAATAAGAAGGGTGAAAGTGGACATCCTTGTCTTGTTCCTGATTTTAGAGTACATGCTTTCAGTTTTTGTCCATTTAGTATGATCTTGGCTGTTGGTTTGTCATAGATGATTTTTATCAGATTGAAATAAAGACCACCTATTCCAATTTTCTGTAGGGTTTCTTTTTTATCATGAATAGATGTTGGATTTTTGTCAAATGCTTTTCCTGCATCTATTGAGATGATTATATGGTTTTTGTCTGTGAAGCTGAAGGTGTAGTGGAGACACCATAAACCTGGAGAAGCCAGGAATGTGAATCATGTGAGGAAAATGGCAAGAAGGGAGTAGAGCCAGCCCAAGAGAGAATCCACAGGAGATACAACCATCAGAAGGGCCATAGGGGTGGAGCCATCTGTGCCTTATGGAATTCACATCTTGCCAGATTGCCCCAGATGCTGTACATGAAACTACAGGGCTTAATGTTTGCCCTGCTGGATTTTGGACTTGCTTTGGTCTCATTCCTTTCTATCCCCCTATTTATACCTTTTGGAATGGTAATATTTATCTTGTGCCATTGTATGTTGGAAGTGTTTAACCTTCTTTTTATTTATACAGGGGCTCACAGTTGAGTTTGCCTTAAATCTTGGAGGTGAGTTTTGACTTAGACTTTTCAGCAATGCTGAAACTGATAGGGTGTTGGCAACTCTTAGACTAAATGCTTTTGCATAACAAGATGTGTATGAGTCTTTGGGGCACCAGGGTGAAATGTTATAGCTTGCATCTAGATGTCCCCCCAGAGCCTCATGCAGTCCTAGGTGAGGTTTTTTGGAGGGGCCTGGGTCTAGGGTATGTGATACTGAGAAGAAGGATGCCATGGTAGGATTAAGGGTTTGATTGTTACCCTCCCTAAGTGTGGGCTGCCTGTATAAAATAGAAGTGACAGAAAGAGGGTCATTGCTTGTCACTTGTCACTTGTTGCTTATTGATGTTGCTGCTGATTGTCTTCTGCAGTGTCCCTTTGCCATGCCACCCTGCCTTGGAGCCAGCCAACTATAAAGTGAAATTTCTATAAACTGTGAGCCACATCAACCTTTCCTCCTTTAAAAAATAAAAATAAAAACTATAAAAATTCTAGTGAGAATGATAGCTCAGCACAGATATAGTTCCATGAATATTCATGCAAAATACATGCCCTAAAAACACTAGTATAAACTTCTTTCAAAAAGGAAATAACTGTAAATTAGCCCAGATTCAGTAATGGTATGAGACAGGGAAAGACACTTGTGAACCCTGAGAAGGGTCTCTGGAGGGAGAACCACTTGGTCAGGCAGTCACCTAACCACTGGCGTAACCGGTCAGTGAGACTGCGCAGATGCTCACGTCCATCTTTATGAGCATTAGGGAAAACTGCCCTCAGGAGGAGAAGTTGACTCAGGGAAGCAATCAACTTCGCACAGCAAGACTCTAGAAGGTGGACAGTCTCAGAAGATAGTAGAGCACTTGACCAGGGACATTAGGGCCTCACTTCACCTGAGAGTCCCCCCTATCTCTCAGGAAATCATTGTGAGGCTGGGCATAAGTCCCTGGGTTTGTGCCCTGAGTAGGTCCACTCTTCATACCAGTCCCAGGTGAGAATTCCTCTCAGCTTCACCCTCCATTTGAAAGCTCTGCTCAGAGCAGTCTTGTATCCTCTCAGACTTTTATCTCAGGACTAAGACACCTCATCTGAGGGTCTGGCTGGGCCACATTGCATCTGCATTAAAATTAACTCCCTCAGAAGGAAATGTGATGAAGCCCAGCCTCAAAATACACCGTCTCAGAACTTACCCATGGCTGCTGTCTCCTAGATCCTATTCCCTTAGTGCTCTTTTTTTTTTTGTACCACTTAGGTCCTTGGGGACATCTATCTTTCTAACATTACTGTTACTCCCAGTATCCACCATCCAGTGTGGTAGATTTTATCTTCCTGACATTGGTGTGTTACTCCTAGATTCTCCATCCTATGGGGCAGCTTGGATCCTGCTCAGCCTGGTGTACTCACGTCTCCACCACAGACACACGGCCTTCCATGGGCACATACACAATGAAGGTTTGGGATCAGTGTGTCCATGAG